GGGAACCCCTCCACGAGCATCCCAAGTTGCACCCCCTCCCCAGGCACACCCTCCATGAGCACCCCACCCTGCACAGGTACCCCCCAGGCACCCCATTTCTGGGCAGGTCTCCTGAGCACCCCTGGATAAACACCCCACACCTGGGCACACCCTTCCTGGGTACCCCCTGGCAACCCAGCCCAGCTTGTACCCCACTTCCTGGTTCCTTGCCCCAGCAGCCCCCCATCCCAACAACCAGCACCCCCTGGCCAGGCAGGGCTGAGCAGAGGGGTCTCTGCGGAGAGGGGACTTCCTGAGGTGCCTCCTGCTCCACTGTTAGAACCTCCCCTCTTCCAAGAGGGTTGCATCCAAGACAGAAAACAGCCAATGTTCCCACTCCTCCCTGCACCCCAGCTTCCTCCCTCACGCACAAACAGGGATCTAACAGGGACGGACACAGTGATGCAGTACTGGAGCAGGTCACCTCCGTGCATCACCTCACTGCCCCCTTCATGGGGCAGGGACGGTGCTCGCCTGCAAGGAGACAACAGCATCTCCTGGGGACCACATTGGAGAGCCCTGTCCCAGCTGGTTTGGTTTCCAGCATTCCCCTGCTCCTCCCACCACCCAGGTGCTGTTTGTTGAACCGCACGGGCAGGATTTCCAAGCTCCCACTTTCCCCCCTTGGATGCATATTCCTTATTTCTGTGGGACTCACCCAGTAGCAGTTTCAGGTGTGATTCACAGGAGGATGCAATAGGAAGTGATAATCAAAATGGGTTTGGGTATCCCACGTGCTGACGAGCCATGGATCCCGCTTTGGGCGCATCTCCTTGGAGCTGAGCAATGCCCCCTGAAGACAGCAGGATTTGGGTAGCAAGACGGACGTTTCCCAAGCAAAAGCCTGGTGAGGATGGGGGATTTGAACCGAAGCAGCTCACAGCACACGTACTTGATGGCTTCTTGAGCACCACCGTGCACTGGCTGCTGCCCATCACCGTGCTTGTCCCCGGCACTTCAATGAGGAGTGGGAGTTTGATTGCAGGATGCAGAACCAGCTGGAGAGACCGATGGGGATGCAGGAAGGAAATGGCAAAAAACCATCCACACCTCTTCAAAACCAAAAAAACCCAAACTTAAAAACTCCAGAGCTTATTTTTATCCCTGAAGGAGCAGCTTTAAAACCCCAAACTCTGTAACCAGCTCGGTTTTGGGGGAGGCACGGGGTAAGCAGACATGGGGGCCCAGCATCCCCCCACGCTGTGCCCTCACAGCCCGGCAGAGAGCGAGGGCAACCCCAGGGCTATTTATGGCAAGTTCCAAATGAAGACAGTTTTTATATCATTATGGCTTTTGCAGAGCTCTGCTCTTGCAGGGAAATATTTCAAGAATCCTGAAGGAAGCGGGGAGGCAGAGGGAGCTGTATTTTGGGTTTAAAGGCTGGAGCGGGGCTCGCCAGGGGCAGGGACCATGTGGGCGCTGGGCTGGGAGCTGCCTCCCCTTGCAAAACCACTGCATTTTTTTCCCCATTGCTCACTGCCACCCCGGAGGGAGCAGCCTGTGTGTATGGGAGGCAGGAGAGCAAATATGGTAAAATATTTGGGCAGCATCCCTAGGGGAAAAAATCCTGAGTCATTCCTCTAAATTACACTGGGGTCTTTATCACCCCTGGCCACACTGGGGGTTAATGTTACCCACACAAGACCTGGTGCACGGCAGTGCACCGAAAGGTCAAGGCGCATCCGATGGAGCTGAGAGCATCCCAGGGCCGCAACCTTGGGCACAGGCTGTCAGCCAAACCTGGACGAGCCTCAGCACAGCTCCCGTGTCCTTCTGCCTCCTCTGCGGGTGGTCTGAGCCATGTAGACCAAGGGAGAAATGCTCTGACACTGCTCTGCCCATGCACACATGGACTTCGTGCCCATCACTGACCCAGCGCAGCCAAAAGGCAAACAAATGGGAGAGGGAACGGGCTGCTCTGACCTGCAATGTGCCACGTTGTGCCCTTTCCTAGATTTCTCCCAGGGTGCCACCAAAACACGTCCCTGGCTGCCAGGAGGGTTCATCCCTTGCTCATGGTTAGACCGGACTCACCACAGTGTTTAGCCTGCTTGGATGGAGAAGGATGATGGAAAAAAACCACCAAAACCTGCTGGTTTGAAGCAAAAAAACCCAGCAACACCTATGAGGCAGAGCCTTTTCCAGTCACCGATGCCAACTTCTTGGCCAGGAATTGTTTTGATGCATGGTCAGCACCCACTTGCTGCTGCCACGGCATAGCCCACAGCACAATCCCTGCTCCCACTGGGGTCAAAAAGCGTGGGCATCCAGCTTCCTGCTCTCACCACTTTTTGCACTGGGCAAAATCTAAATAATTAGGAAAAATTAGGAAAAACTAAAGGCGGCCAGGGAAAAGTCTCTTTCCATCTGCGTTTCTCAGTGTGCGTTTTGCTAAGGGTCAGGGTTGGGTCTTTTCTCTCCAGCCACTCCAACCCAACCATGGTCAATGCCCCACTCGTTATCAGCCCCCAGCTCCTGTTTCCTTTCCCGGATGGATCTTGGCACTTTCAGTGCAAACTGGACTTCGTTTTCCCTTTATCAGGACCGGCTGCTCCGTACATGGCTTGGCCGGCCTTAACGAGAAGCCGATGCTGTGTCCTCTGCTGGGTGGAAGAGGTGACCTTTCGTTTGCGGTTTAGCAAAGCGTGGGTCTCAGCCAGGGAGGTCTCAAGGTTGAGGAAAATGCTGAGTGCATGGGGAGGTGTTTTCAGGTTATTCCTGGACCTGGGAAGCCTGTTTGGCTTCATGCACCCAAGAAAGGGCTGGGTTCAACTTTGATTTTAAGAGCTGGGTGCTGCCAACCTCACTGTATCCCTGCTCACCGGCCCCAGGGCTGGGAACCTGGACATGAAGTCAGTTTGTGGCTTGAACTTGATTTATTTTTAATTCTCTGCTTGGAACCTCTGGCTTCAGGAACAAACTCTGAGATGCAGTGACCATAAGGACACTCCTCTGCAGAGACTCACTCAGACAAGGCTTTGCAGAGGGATGAAGGCTCAATTTGTGAGACCTTTCATCATCTCAGTCATTGCTCCCTGTCTCAGTTTCCCCTCAGATAGCGCCCAGAATCCTTATCCACCCTGTGCCCCCCAGCCCCCTCCAACAGCCTCAGTGCTGGGAGCAGGAAGGGTTCCCATCCCCTGGCTCCTCCTCATCGCCCCACAACCGTTCTCTTCCAGGAGGCACAAGCTTTACAGGGAGGAGCTCAACTTGACCTCCCTAGCGGCGCCACTGCCGCTCCGGCCGGACGCCAGTTGGCTCCAGTTCCACCTGGGCATCAGCCGGGATGGGCTGTACCCGCGCTCCAGCCCCACCATCAACAGACTGCTCCGGGACATGCGAGACTTCACCACCATCAGTGCTGGTAAGCACCCTCCTGCCACGGGGATGGGACCCTTGGGAGATGGGACAAGGGTTTTAGCAGCAGGAAATTGAGTCCAGTGGGGTCTCACAGCTCCTTCTGTCCCTGCAGACTACAGCCAGGATGAGAAGGCGCTGCTGGGAGCCTGTGACTGCAGCCAGAGTGAGTGCTGCGCTTAATGTCCCCGCTGTCCCCTCATGTCCCTGCCATCCCCTCGCACCCCATCACTTCAGCTGACCCTGGTCCCCAACCCCTCCATCCCAACCTTATGGAAATGAGGAAAGCCAGGCAATGCCAGGCCCTTCTCCCCCCAGTTACACCTCGCCTCCCCAGCAGAGGCTGGAATGTGGGTGCTAGGACACCAGTGCACCACTGGTTTCTGCTGGGGGAGAGGAAGAAGTCCCAAAGAGGATGTAATAAATGGCTGGAGGAAAATCTCCTCCATGGCACATGGGAGAGGGAGGAAAAATGACTGCAGAGGCAGAGGGAGCAGCTGGAGGGAGCAATGGGATGTGCTCACTGGGGTGGAAAACAGAATTGTGTCTGAGTGCGTAACTGGTGCTTCACCACATGGCGGGGAGGTTTCCACATGGCTGGGTCACTAACGTCTCGTTTCCTCCCCAAGTCGTGAAGCCCAGCGGGGTGCACTTGAAGCTGGTCCTCAGGTTCCAGGATTTTGGGAAGGCCATGTTCAAGCCCATGAGGTAAGGCATGCCAGCAGAGCACCCCACATAGCCATGAACCAAGGAGCCCCGAGCGTCCTTGGCAGGGACAGACGCACCACAGCACATCTTCCCTTAAACCCTGAAAAGGTTTAATTATTATTGGCCGTTTGCACAATCTCGGAGACACAGGTGAATAAACACCAGTGCTCCCACACTGCTTATTGATGGAAATTTCTCAGTTCCCAGATGCCAGGCAGTGAAGGACTTGGGGCCAACGTTGCTGTTAGGGACTGCCTGTTTCTTTCTTTTCCCCAGCAGACGTCGTGTTTTACGTTGTTTCTCCTCAGATTCCCCCGAGTATTTCCAAGAAGCAGCCATCGGTCCCGGTCACCTCAAAGAGAAGCTTTAAATTGCTTCTGCACGCACTTGTACCCCCTTGGGACTCTTCACATTTATCCCCCCCTGGCTTTACTTTCCGTGCACAGGCAGGGCAGCTGTGTGACAGCCAGAAAATGAAATTAAATCAGCTGTCCCCGAGCACAGGGCCTGTCCCTGGGTGTGCTGTCCTTGTGCCACCACTTCCCACCGTGTCACCTGCTTGCCCTGCCATTAACCCCCCTGCTCTCTCCCAGGCAGAAACGCGAGGAAGAGACCCCCGAGGACTTTTTCTACTTCGTTGATTTCCAGCGGCACAACGCGGAGATCGCTGCCTTCCACCTGGACAGGTAGGAGCCTGCCACAGCACCCACAGAGTTTGGGCATGAGAAAGGCCATGCCGAGCTGCTCAGCCTTAGATGAGCAATTGCTTCACAGAATCACACACAGAATCGCTCGGTTGGAAAAGCCCTCTGAGATCATCACGTCCAACCGCTCCTGTCTACCCCCTAAACCATATCCTTAAGTACCTCATCTACCCGCTCTTTAAACACATCCAGGGATGGTGACTCCACCACCTCCCTGGGCAGCCTGTTCCAGCTTCTGACCACCCTCTCAGTAAAGAACTTCCTCCTTATCTCTAACCTGAACCTCCCTTGGCACAGCTTGGTGCCGTTTCCCCTTGTTCTATCCCCCATCACCTGGGAGAAGAGACCAGCACCCACCTCTCCACAAGCTCCCTTGAGGCAGTTGTAGGTGGTGATGAGGTCTCCCCTCAGCCTTCTCTTCTCCAGGCTAAACAACCCCAGTTCCCTTAGCCCCTCATCCTTTTGAGGGCTGATGCATTTTTTGGGGATGTGGTGGCTCCGGCTCTCATCTGAAGCCCAGAATGAAGCCCAGGTTGGGAAGGGGTTGAGGATTTGTCACACGCACACATGGTTCCTCCCATGCATTGAAGGGCAGAGACAAGCCCTGGGCGCAGCCTGGATCCCCTCCCAGGGAGGGAGTCACACGCTCAATAAGCAATCAAGGCGTTTGGGATCGAGATAAACTGCAGCGATGCGATTTCAAGCCCTCAAGCTAACGAGCAATTAACCTGACACCTCTTCCCAGCAGGCTTTGTAGTTAATAAAATCAAAAATGCCCTTAGTAGGAGGGCAGCAGCCGCCTTCCCCTCCATGGGTTGAGCAGTGAACATCAAGGGGAAGTGACCCCTGGTGCTAATGGTGGATGGGGGTCCCCAGTTCCCAAGCCCACCCAATATGATAAACAGGACTAAACTGGAGGTGCTGTACCTCAAACTGTGACTGAGGGAGTGAGAAGAGCCCAATTCCCTGCCCAGCTCTGCCCCTACCCCAGCACCATGACTCTGCTTGACTCAGCTACCGCCAGCTCACCTCTCTGCATCCCAGCTCCTCTGCCAGAAAAATGAGGCCGGGCTGCTTTTCTGAAGTGCTTTGTGGTTTTTAGAGCTGAAAGCAAATGATTTTTTTTTCCTTTAAACATTGCTCAATAAATAACAGGCTAAATCCTGTTTCATGCCCGTTCTCAGAAGCAGAGGGCATTACCCAAGGAGCAGAGCGTGGCATTAGCTGCTTCACCCCATGTTACTGACTCAGCAATCAAGAGCAGCTTTCCACTCCTTGACACGAATGCCTTTCTGCCCCAGGCCCTGATTTATTTTTTTTTAAGAATATTTTTGATGAATCAGCTGAGCATTGAGTGCCTCAGAGCGGGGTGATAGCTCCTGGCCTCCTGCGGTCTCAGCCGCCAGGCACAAGGTTCAGAGCATCTTTGCTCTGTGTCAAACCCAACGTTGTGGAACAGCCTGAAGGGCTGCTCGGCCTCCCCAGGACCCTGCTTGTGTGCGAGGGGATGGGAGAAATGGGTGAAGGAAAAGACACAAATCCTGGAGAACATCCAGATGGTTCCAGGCAGCAGATATTAAAATACCAAAATCCAAATTTAGCCACATTTTGGTCCAGATGGTAAAATTATCCTGGCTATGTGCTAGAAAGAAGCTGGGAGAAAAAAAATCCACGTGGATGCAGTCATCAAAAGGCCCCTGGCTTACCAAGGGAAGGGACAAGAGCAGCGTCTGCCATCCCATGCAGCAACGTCTCTTTGCACAGCAGGCACTGAGCCACCTTCCCTTTCGTGCAGGATCCTGGATTTCCGGAGGGTGCCACCCACAGTTGGGAGGTGGATCAACGTCACCAAGGAGATCCTGGAGGTCACCAAGAACGAGATCCTGCAGAGCGTCTTCTTCGTCTCACCGGGTAGGCGAGTGCCTGGCTGCCACACGCTGGGATTAGATGTGTTATTGGTCCATGGGGGGCAGAAGGGCAGGGGCTGGAGGCAAAAGGCAGCAGAAGGACTTGTGCTGTTGAGCAGAAATTAAATCATTAGGTGAAATATGCACAGAGATGTGGTTACAGTAGAGGAATCATCTGCCAGATCTACTTGCCTGCCCTAGTTCCACCTTTCCCCTACTGCGCGTTATCCATTGACCAAAACCCATCACCGTCACACGATGGGGATGAGGTCAGTCCAGGTTATGTTGAAGTCTCCTGCAGCTCCTTTCCCCTCTGTTCTCCTCCAGCCAGCAACGTGTGCTTCTTTGCCAAGTGCCCGTACATGTGCAAGACGGAGTACGCGGTGTGCGGGAACCCTCACCTGCTGGAAGGGTCCCTCTCCGCCTTCCTGCCGTCCCTCAACCTGGCACCGCGACTCTCCATCCCCAACCCGTGGATCCGCTCCTACTCCTTCGATGGAAAAGAGGAGTAAGTGGGTAAATGATGCTGTTTCCCGTATCTGTGTTTCAGGGAGCGCGTGGGAAGGAGAAGGAGCAGAGTACAGACACATACAGAAATTGTACATCCAAGGTTCAGAGATTGCCCATAATTATTTTAATTCCTCTTAATACCTGGGCCTTGACTGGGTTTGATTTCCAGTCTCCTGTGTGCACAAGGAGGGAGGTTTAAGTCCATCTCTGCTTCAGGGTGCTGCTGGGACACGGCAGCAGCAACTGCAGGGTGCATCTCCCCCTTCTCCATCTCCTGCAGGTGGGAAGTGAATCCGCTGTACTGCAACACGGTGAGGGAGATCTACCCCTACAGCAACGGCAACCGGCTGCTCAACATCGTTGACATGGCCATATTTGACTTCCTAATAGGTAAGATGAAATAACGTTCCTTACTTTAATCGGGGCTTTCAGCATCAGTTTGTCTGCCCTCCCACATCACGGTGTTTCTCAAAGCCATCCCTGCTGTTCCATGGACAGTTTTGGGAGATCGCTGTCTCCCCATAGCCAGTGCAACCCCTCCTGATGTGCAAGGGGGACCCCCCTGGCCCACCCCAGCCCATGGGGTTCAGCAAGAGGAAAGCAGCAGCTCTGGGCATCTCAGACACTTCCAGCACAGCAATGCAGATCTGGAAAAAAATATGGCATAGTTAAGAAAATCACTCAACGGCGTGCAAGGGAAACTGTTCCTCTGTCTGCCCTTTACCAGGAAACATGGACCGTCACCACTACGAGATGTTCACCAAGTTTGGGGACGACGGCTTCCTCTTACACCTGGACAATGCCAGAGGGTGAGGCTGCGGGGGGACACGGGGAGGTGGGCGGGCGGTGGGCAGGCACTAAAGCTCTGCGCTCTCTGCTTGCACCCCAGGTTTGGGCGGCATTCCCACGATGAAACCTCCATCCTGGCCCCGCTCTCCCAGTGCTGCATGTAAGTGCCAGCTTCATCTTCCTTCCCAGATGGGGGTGTTCCCACTGTAACCCACTGGCTCCATCCAGCAGCGCAGGGAAGACCCCCTGCTAATCCCAGCCAAGGGGGCAGGGGAGCATGGGAATCACAAGTTGTCTCTGAAATGGGGATTAGGCTTTTAAATCAGTTCAAGTATTAAGCTCTGTTGTGCTGCAGCCTGCTATGGCATCATGCAACCACTCTTTGTGGATAATTTCTATTTTGGATGGTCTCCTGCCATCAGAACACCCTAAACCCCAGGTGGGCTTCCCATATCTCCTTGGACTATGAAGAACAGATCAAAACCTCTGTTGCAGCAACATTTCTCATTGCCATTTTCTGAACTGCTCTCCTCCAGCTCTGCTCTCTTCCTTGCATCAGGGACCTCCAGGCCCTTCCCTGCTGCCCACTGCAACACCAGTTCACACACCAATCCCAGTTACCAGCTGCATTGCTCAGCACTGGGCAAGCATGAGGGTCTCCTTGAAAGCCCATTGAAACCAAAAGGCCTTGCAAGTGTAAAAGCTTTCCCTGGTAGACCAGGAGACACCATCCATTGGATCAAACCCTTCCAGAAGTGTCTCCTCACACTTCCCAGCCCATCAACATGAGATGCAGCCCCATTTGCCTGACACGAAGCTCAGAAGTCTCCATCCAAAAGCCTGGTAGAACTTTGGGACAGGTTAATCAGGTTTCTTCTTCCCATGGCATTAAGGGGAAGCTCATAAATGTTTGTTTGAATGTTATCTTCCCTCTTTATTAATTCACATAAATCATCAGCCGAAAGTTAATTTGAAGAGACAGAACAAGCTGCTCTTCCTTGTGGTTTCTCTTCAGGAGATGCCCAACGAATTTCCTCCCTGTATCTGCTCCATCTCAGCCTCAGCTGTTAACTGCACTCTCTCCTGATGCACTCTTACAACTGGATCTAATTTTAAGAACTGCTATTTGCACCCAGCGAGTCTTTTCATTTATAATTGCAGGCTCACAGTGAGTTTCTCTCACAGCTCCTATTTTGTGAGGTTTAAATTAACTCTGCCTCTTAATTTGGTCTCCATACAGTAAGATCCACAGGTCAGATCCTTCCTACCCTTCCAGATCCACCTCCCCACAGCTCTTTTTAATTTAGTTCTCCCTGTAAAAAGCAGTGGGAAGAAGACTTGCAAGTCACACCTTGTAATAAGCCAACTAGAGCCAATGACAGCGTGAAAGCAACTCGTGCTGCTGGAGGAAGACACACAAACCTCATTTCCCACAGCAGCCAATCCATTTGGAGTGGGGGAGCATCCAAAAACGCTTGGAAAGGAAGTAAAATGGTTTATTTGGGTAAGCACAGAGGCCAAAGACCTCAGCCTGCCCTGCCCTTCTCCCTGAGCTGTGTACAGCCGAGCAGGACCGAAGTCCCCCAGCCAGGAGGGACCCCTCAAGCGCAGGGATGCTGAACCACGGGCCGCTTGCTTTCCCGTTCAACACCGTCATCTCCTTCCCAGCCGAGCTCTTCTCCAAGTTTGGCTTCCAGCAGATTTAAGCCTGGTATTTTCAGCCACCTTTCGCAGTTCCCGCACCACTCCTTGTCCCACACGCTGAAGTGCCCAGAAACAGCGCAACTGCAGCCATGCAGTAAGAGATGGTCCTTTTCCTGGAAATTCAAAATCCCCAACGAGACACAGGCCTGCAAACAGCCCCCAGCTAAGGTGGGCAGGTATCTTCTTGGCTGATCACACAGAATCACAGAATCGCTCGGTT